TACTTCTCTCTCTCTCTCTCTCTCTCTCTCTCTCTCTTTCTCTTTCCCTTCCTATCCCTATCAGTGCCATTTTATAATTTAAATTTGATGTTAGAAAATTGGTTTGATTCAAATTTTAATTTAAAAAGGTACATGTTTTCATTTCTTTAGCCCTCCCTATCAATGCATAAAAAATAATAAATGATTTGATATGAAATGGTTCCAGACGTTTGGCGCTTTTGTCTTACATATATACAGCAGTACAACAGAGCAAAGTAGAAAGAGGCTGGTTATAATTCTTTAAAAATGACAGTGGACATTTTGAAATCTCGTACAAGAATTTGTAGTTTCACAATTTGTAATGTACATACTTTTTTATCAGTGATAATTTTAGAATTAAATTCAAAGAAAAAAGTCATGAGAATAATTTATTATCAATGTGAATACTTCTTCAGATGCTTTCTTGAATCCTATAATCATTGAGGTCATCTGATAAGAAATGTGAAATGGTACATTGCTGGATTTATACGTTTCATCAGAATGGAATAGTGCATGATATTGTTTGGAATGTTTAAAATTTTATTTGAATGAGACGAAAGGCAGCCTAGACATGGAAATGATAAATGATAAATGATACAATAAGTGTTGATAAGTTAATAAAATTTATCGAGTTAATTGAATTTACTATCATAGAAATCGATATTTCTTATATCGAATAACCTTTACAGCTTAAATGAAAACAAGTAAACGTTGACCTTTTATCGTGTTTATTTGTTAAAACTAATCATACTTTGAAATGTGTACTGCAAGTTAGAAAGAAAAATAGCATTTGTTCAGTTCAAATGATAATATATTAGTTTGTATCAAAATTCCGAAAGATAAGTATTAGTTTTAAAAGAAAAAAAGAAAAATGAATGTATTGATTGTTATATGATAAGTAGTGATAAGAAATTATTTTGTAAAAGAATGCACAAAATAAATTCGGAATTCAAAAGGATTTTAAAATTTCAGCTTCCCCGAATTAATAAAACTGATATTATCAAATCTTTTTGATAGGAAACAATTAAAAATATTAAGACAAAAGTGAATATAATCAAATGTGATGATAGAATTTTCACATGTAACAAGGGATAGTAGAAAAAATTCGTAATATTTGTTCATTAGCTAATAATTACGAATAAATAATTAAACAAAGAATAAATGTTAAGCTAAGATGAAAATTTTGCAACTAATTAAAATATTGTAATTATTGATGTAAAAAAATTAATTCATTTCATAGAGCCAAGAATTTATATCTTCTTTGCCAAAACTTACTTCTCTCCCTTTCTCTGTCTCTTTCTCTCTCCCTCTCTCTTCCCAAAAATTTTTGTTAAAAAAAACTTCACTATATTGCAGGGTTATATGTTTCTTATACCAAGACAAAGAGAAGTACAAAGATCAGTGTCTGTACTGTCTCCTCTGTATCATCATGTCTCACCGCTACCATATACGATCCCTCAAACACTTCCATCAGCGTTTCTCCCGCTAAAATCTTAAACATCACTGGATTATGTGGCTAATCTATCTGTCCTTGAATAGGTAGCGGTCACCAATATTAGGACCATCCTGCTGAGAACGTAGCTACGCCGGGCTAGACATGTCTCCAGGAGTGAACTCGCTACCAACTTCAACAAAAGATGATCACCGAAGAATGGCCTGAAACCTTAGCATTGGCTATATTAACTACCATCAATGGACCATTTTGGCCTTGAATCAAGAGACATGGACACATACCATCTATAACGCTGTTATTCGCTTTGAAAACATACGCAGAATCAGTCTCAAGAAGAAAGAAGTAATGTAGAAAGAATCATGCCTCGCTAATAACGCCTGAAGAGGCTTTCCGTTGCCAGACTTGCCTATGCCCCATCGGGCTTTTTTAGCTATTAACATGCTTGCAACAAGCATAGGTAAGGCTTTTTCGCTTACAAAGCCTATCCATGGTAATGTTTACTGATGGAAAACATTGATATTTGTGGTTTTTTCCTTTCACCTTTCCTTCCTCTTCTCTAACTAGTTTTGTATATTTATTATTCTTTTAAGAGGACTTAAAATTGATTCTTGATTATTAGAATTGGATAAATAATATCTTATAGCGAATAAGAATTAATTTCCTTTCTCTTTTATGCCTTATATTTCATAAGGCTCTTGCTATAGCAGACTAAACTAGGCCACATTAAGTTAGACTAGACTGCAATTAGTCAAAGATGAGTAAGCATTTGATTATTTCCACCCCGTCCAGAATGACGAAAATATGTAACAAATGCTTTTACTTTGATTTTCGATGCATTAAAATATTCTAATTATAGCTATATGTTTACGAAATAAAAAAGAAAAAATAAATTGTCGTCATTTGAATGTCTTTTACATTTCCGAGTTTGCACAGATTTCTTCATTAAAATGTTGAGATTGAAGATTTTTAAACTGTAATAGCTTAATTAATTTTTAGCAAAATATCGTCGTAAAAGAGGCATTATCGATTTGATTTTATTTTCCAAAGAGTAAAGTGGAAAAGCATTAATATGCCTCAAATGACTTTAATACTCTAAAAAAAAAAATTACTTCATGTCTCCATGTATTTGGAATTAATTTAAAAATGATGAACAGAAATAATTAAAGAGATTCGATGATGTTATCATTTTAAAATATAAAATGACCATTGAACCATTGAACTCTTTTTAACTGTTAAAAATTTTATGCTGTCTAATTCTCTTTTATGATCTACTTTTGATTTCATTTCTCCTTTCTTTTATGCATTTTTGCATTACAGTTTTCATGTGACATTAAAATTAAAATTGTCAACAGACGTATAATATCGTAGTTGAAATCAGGGAATAAAAAGGCATAATGCGCATTGATTGTTAGGCATAATTGATGGAAAAAACTTTCCTTGGAGCAAAGCAGAAAGAAGGAAAAGATTAAAGCGTGAATTAAACTATCTTTTAAGTTATTTATTTTACATAATTATTAATTGATTATAATTGCATGAAAATGAAAATCAACCTATGAAATTCTGCAAGCATTTTATAATATTGTATCATTGGAATAATAAAAGAAATGAAAAAAATTAGTTTAAAATTAGTTCTAATTAGTAATCAGTCAAAAAATTCATTTTGTGGAAAATGAATGATTGGCAATAATAATAGTGTAATTAACGACAGCATTGTTGATTTTTGGTCTACATGTTTTTTTTTAGACGTTTGCTTCAATGAGGAATGCAGGAATAGCTCTCCTGAAGAAAAACATCTGAGGATATGTTTGTAACGCATGACTGCAATTCATGCAAAAATCAAATTTGCAAACATATTTCAAAACAAGAAACTATATGGAAAGCTGATAAAATATGCCTGATACCGTCAGCGTTATCCTCTGACTTGAAATGTGATAGCAATTAATTATTTAAAATCAACTTTATATAAAGTTTAATAAAATTATTTCCTACATATAATTTCTTCTTGACTTTTCTTTTTGTGTCTTCCGTATTTTACTTGGAAATCTAATGATTTAAATGGCAGAAACATATTAACATTATAAACAGTGAGTTCTGGATGGATCAGAAAAATATCATTTGAATGTTGAAGCCTGCTAACAGAAGCTTAATTGGACTAATGAAATATCATACTAACCTATTTCATATTTCGCTATGCAGTTAACACTTTCTTACATTGACAGTGGCAACTACTAAGATATCATTTTTAAACAATATTATTGTGAATTAAATCAATATGTAGTATCAACGAATGATGACTTTTGAACAATTTTTTGAAGCAACCGTTTGTGATATTTGTCAACAATTATGTCACATTATATATCATAGACCAAAATTTGCGAAAAGCTTTCAAAACTCTTATAATTAACTTAAGGCAAAAATCACAAAAACAAGGAGTGTTATTTAGCTAATTATGTACTTTACCTTGTTATCTCTTCCTCTTTCTGCAACTATTTTTTTTCTTCTTTCTTTGACTATAATGAGAGGTTTTAATTATTTGATTAATCCATTCAACACTCCGTACTGAACACTTATCAAAATATCCTGCACGAAAGTTAAGGATTCGGCGGGAGTAAGACTTATCTTAGAAGCTTTATCATCATTTGAGCCATTTGCACTTCTTTGCAATTGTTGAAATCCTTCCTGTAAATCCAACGGTTGCAGTGCGACGAATTAGATGAAGTTGCTCCAGGAATTTTGTCCGATAAGCGTGACTTCGCCAAAACAAGATGTAGTAATTGTTGCCATAGTTAAAAAGCAGTAAGAGGCATAAAAAGGATGACACATTACCCTGAAAATAACTAAAAATTTGAAGTATCTATCACTGTTCGGATGAAAATTCACTTCAAAAATTAAATTTCTGAATTCGTTAAAAATGAAGCAATGCTTTTCTAACCTTCCAATTCAGCTGTTCAGAATTTTTTAATCCCGAAATTCAACTTACAATGACATCTGCCGAAATTGGTAGAAAATTGACAATAAATAAAGTAAAAGCCGATAGAAGTGAAGTCAAACAATTAGCAACCATTGTTATAAGCATCGAACTAGTAAGCTGATTTTGACGACGATAAGCAGCGTGATCATGTTCAGCTGAAAATGATGATATTTTCAAGAATGTTAAATGTGGTGAATGAATGAAAGAGGATGTATTCATATTATTTGATACACTAACTGAGATTCTTCAGCACTTGAAATCAATCCTATCCTGTAAAGCTTGATTGAATTCTACATGCATATGTCTTACTTACGTGAAATGGAAGTGTAGTAAAGCATCGCTTATACAGTTTCAATTAAGGTATATCAAAGTGTTCTTGAACTTTTTCGTTTCAAGAATCGTTGAGCACGAAATGATACGAGGTAAAGATATGCATGCATTCATGCAGCAATCCTTATCTACCGTAGTCATTTTTGTTGTTGTTTTTTCTTTCTTTGTTAAATCTAACAGAATGCGTCTTTCCTTTACGCTGAGATGATGTCGCTAGTGACTCAAAATTAATCTCTCACAAAGGTTTAGCATAATCATTTTCCTTATCATTTTTGATATTTCTAGGTGAAGAAGTGACACACGTTTGAGTCACGTTAAAATTATCGTTTTAAAACTGCAATGAATCATCAGATGGGAAAACAGATTCGTATAAACAGGAAGTTTAACGTTTGACATAGATGAATGGAACAAAAGGAATGTTATTAACCTGCGCCCATTTCTAAAGATTGTTTTCTTAGGAGAATTTAATTTCGCTTACAATAATCTGCTGTGAATGTCAACACATAACCTCACGTAGCAATTTTGATAAATGAAATATTTTGCGACAAAGGATTGACAACAATAACAGCAACAAAACAAAATATCTCAACATTGGATTGACAACAATAACAGCAACAAAACAAAATGTCTCAACATTAAGCAAACAAAATATATCATTTTTCCCATAAAGTTGGTTCTCACAAAACCGAAGGAGCCATATCTGATTGCTTGGAGAAGCCAATGACAGCTTCAAAAAAAAGGAGGACATTGTCGCTTCTCACAGATTTGCAAATCATTTTCAAAACCTATAAGCAGTTAGGCAATATGGTATCCTATTGAAAATTAGTCGTTTGAGTTGATCGATTCGAACAGGAATTATTAGCTATCTCATGCAAATCTGTGCTATCATATATCGTATTGGTGAGGTAATAATGATGGTCTCTTTTAGGAAGTAGTTCCCAACGGGTGATCTGTGGAACTAAAATATGGTCCGCGAGGGCTTATTGAAAATTATGCTCTTCCTTTTTTTATTATAATATTACTCTAAGTTTAACTAATACGTTAGATATTTCGACTAAAATTTATTTTCAAATCAACAGAACTTATTATTTCTGAACAAATAAAAAAGCCAAAGTTACCACTGGTCAAGAAGAAGCTGGTGAACCACTACTTTAGAATGATTAAACATGGAATTAGCAGATTGGAGATAGAAGAATATAGCTCGGGACAAATGATTTGTCCCATTATCGCAATATTTCGTAAACATTCAAGAAAACATATTGAGAATCCAAGCATAGTAGTAGAGATTGTGATAATGATGAGGACTGCACTTTATCATTTACTTATTCCGGTGAACATTACCATAATTACTCCTAAGTTTTACTGTTAGTAATATGAATGAGAAGCACACGTATTTACATCGCTTCCAGGTTTTCCGTAACAAGTAATAATCGATGACATTTATTATGAAAACAGCTACAGCTATGCTAACAGAGCCATAATTCCAGACTGTCATTAAATCTGTTGAATAGGCCATTGTTTGATCGCATGGTTCAACAAGCTGAAAAGTATTGGATGAATTAATATTATTGTCATTTCTTCTCCATTCAGTAATGTTTAAAATTTTTCTTGAAATTGATGTTTTTTAATTCAAACATACTTCATCATCAGCAACGATAAAACCGGCAATAACAAAGGCAGTTGAATAGGCAAAGCCAGTGACGATGGCTAAAGCGATGTAAGGTATAGTTCGTGCTGTTCGATATCTAAAATAGTACGAGTAGTTCTGAAGATATCATTTAATATACAAAGAGATTAGAGAAAATATAGTGGAGTAAATAGTGAACGATCATCAATAATAGATAGTTTTATAATAAATGCTATTGTATTTAAGAGAACTTACTTTAAAGGTGATTGTACGGCAATAAAACGATCGATAGCGAGGAAAAGTATTGTAACAGTTGACATATTGAATGAGTAACAATACAAGAAGATTGACTGATAACAATTCACTCGTTTCATGATCGATTTGTTAAGGAATATTTCAATCGCTTTCTTCCATTCATGTACTTCGCTTATCTACAAAATATGCTTCGATCACTCGGCGATCGAATATGTTTTGTTCAATGGTGCTAAATACTTTGACATAGATTGTAATCGAACCTACGATCGG